AAATCAGGTATGTTTGAACAGATGGTGATGATGATGACAATAATAATAATAATGGAAAACCACCTAAACGTTTAGCAATTAGAGAATGTCTAATAATATAGAGCTACCACACAATTATTCTGGAGACATTATGTTTTCAAATACTATTTAAATGACCTGAGAAAACATCCCTGATAGGAGTGGACTTATGTATGTATGTCAAGAGTGAAAGACTGAGGGATATTTACTAAAATATTAGTGGTGGTTTTGTTGGTAGTGGGTTGATGGTCATTTTAAATTTCATTTTGTCTTTTCTTTTTCTTTGCTTGACATTGCATAATGAGAAAATAAACTACTGAAGTTGTATTTTAAAAATCTGCACCCAGACATAGAATACAAACTTGTGGTCACCAAGGGGGCGGAGGAGGGGAAGGGATAGGCTGGGGTTTCAAAATTGTAGAACAGATAAACAAGATTATACTGTATAGCACAGGGAAATATACACAAGATCTTATGGTAGCTCACAGAGAAAAAAATGTGACAATGAGCATATATATATTCATGTATAACTGAGAAATTGTGCTTTACACTGGAATTTGACACAACATTGTAAAATGATTATAAATCAATAAAAAATGTTAAAAAAAAACCCTGCAGATGCTAACTACTATATGTAAAGCAGATAAACAACAAAGTCCTCCTGTATAGCACAGGGAACTGTATTCAATGGCTTGTAATGGTCTATAATGAAAAAAACATGAAAAGGAATATATATACGTAAAAATGAATCACTGTGCTGTACAACACTGTAAATTGACTATACTTCAATAAAAAATAAATCTGCACTTGGGGCTCCTCCCTGTGGTGTCAGAGCTCCCATGGTCCTGGGGTTCTTGCCCAGGATCATGGACCTTTGGGATACACACATGGGCTCAAGAGGATGGAAGGTGTGAGCCTCTTGAAATGACACTCACCATCTTCAGGGTATGTGCCTTTAGGGCAGACTGTTCACAGCATGGTCAGATGCTCAAAGCTGCTCCCTCCCCTCCCTTTACAGAGGGGGAGTTTGGATGGCCTGTCCAGGGTTACAGGGCAGGCTAATGGCAGGGCTGGGGCGTGACTCACTCCCACTCCGAGTGCTCAGCGGGAGCTACTGGAAGCTGTTGAAAGGCAGCTCTTACTCCCTGGAATGTCTTTGACCCAAAAGCCAGGGAGCTAACCGCCCAGCCCCCACCCAGCCAAGGCTTGGGAATGCTGGATTGCCCCCGAGGGAGCTGTAGCCTCACAAGTGCAGGTGCAGGGCTGGGCAGTGGGTGGGGAGAGGGCACAGGGGCCAGAGGATGGCCGTGGCCGTGGCAGAGAGGATGCTTTCAGACCCACGACACTTACGCATGGGCTACGGCAGAGAGTGGTGCTCTCAGTGAGAACACAAAGAAAGCACATGTGTTTTCCAAACCTCCGGTTAGTGAGGGACAGCCCTCTTGATCTTTCAGTCTCTACGTTTCATGCCCATAAAATGGAGATACTAAACCTCAGCTGCCTCATTGCATGGATATGAGGAGAAAATGATCTGTAAGTCGTAAGCAGGCATGGCTGGGCCACCGGGATGGAAGCTACCATGTCAGATGCCAAGCTGCAACTCACCCTCCTTCTGTTTCCGCACGACAGAAGTCACGGTGGCTGTTTCAGATCATAAATCTGTTTGCACTTGGAATAACAGGTGGTTTGCAAGGCTTATAAAACAGTGGTCTCTCAGTATTAAGTGATAATTTTGTAAAGACTACAGACTACCTTTCTCCACGTTACACACCATCTCCCCTTTCACTTTAGAGAGAGAGGAACTGAAGCAGGGAAATTTTTAAATTTCCTTCTGGGAAAAAGAGGTTTCCTGTGAAGCAGAGGAAGAAGGACCTGACCCACAAGGGGAGAGCAGAGGCCCTGGGAGAAGATTTCCTGGATTCAGACAAAGCTACGTCTGGCCTTTCTGTGGCCAGGCGTGGTCTGCCGTCCCAGTCCTCCCCGCCACGGTGGAGGGCAGCGTGGGACTCAGGCAGGTGCAGGGGGGTGGGGAGGGCGTTGCAGGGGTGGAAACGCGGCAGGGCAGGAGGTCTTGGAGGAACTAACTCCTATTCTGGAGACAGCCCCCAATTAAGCCCCCAAATCCACTGGCTGGTTTTCAAGATCTTCCAGCAACTATTACATACCATTACCCAGGGCAAAGGAGTCACTGTCAAAGAGCATGACTTTTGATGAACTTAGACCTGAAACTAATGTTTTACTAGGAGGTAACACGTGCTGCCACCTTGGAGGTTCCTTCATGGATTCATTCAGCAGAAGTTTACTGAGGGTCTGTCCTGTGCCCGCCGAGCCGACCTCAGGGATGAGGATGGATCAGGCAGAAGCCAGGTGCTCACGGTCGGCTGAGGGAGATGTTTCAACCATTACCCACACACAGGGGGCTGTGCATTATTCAACAGCTGTATACACAGCACCTTTTAATTCATTACTTAATTTTTTGGATGGCTTTACTTTTAGTTTATTTAAAATTTAAGATAATTTTTATAGTTTTTTAAAGCTTACTTTCCATTTACAGTTATTACAAAATATTGGCTATATTCCCCGTGTTGTGTAAGACGTCCTTGAGCCTATCTTGCACCCCACATTTGGTACCCCACACTCCGCCATCCTTATATCCCCCCATCCCTCCTCTGTAACCACTAGTTTGTTCTCTGTACCCATGAGTCTCATGCAGCACCTTTCATGTGCCAGACAGTAAACAAAATAGTTCTGATTCTTAAAGAGCTTAGTTTCTGGTGCGATGATGATAATGTTAATGATGATAATAATATTTGTTATTACTAGCTGATGCTGACTGAGTGCTTACTATGTTAACATGCTTTCCCTCTGTTAGTTCACTCAATTCTCGTTAACATCTGTATGAATTTAATACTATTTCCACCCCCATCTTACAGAGAAAACTACCGAGGCAAGGACAGGGGAAGAAACTTGCCCAAGGTCACAGGGAGAAACCAGAATTGAAACCTGGCCCGTTTGGTTCCAGAGGTCACAGGTTCAACCAGCAGGACACTGCTCTCAGCTAAGAACCCAGTGCCTGGAGCTAGCACGTCAGAGAGGAGGGGACAGTGGGACGGACACCTCATGTGAGGACGGCCCTGTGGTACCTGCTGAAGCTGTATCAGTGTGGAGCAGAGAAGTGCATCACACCCATACGGTTTAGCAAACAGTTTTTGCTTCATTCACGAAATGAGTTCAGTTACTCTAAACGAATCCTTTTGCAACTTCATCAAGTCCCAAGATGCAGAGCCCCCTTGAGTGCCAAGCCTCTGCCACTGGCTGGGAGACATGCGGAATGTTCCAGAGCCCACACTGTGTAGCCTGGTGGCCCAGAACCCGGCTCCATCCTCCTGCTCTGGTGCAAACTGCCTTGGCTCCCACCCGCCCTCCTGTGCACCATCTCGCAGGCTGCTGGCACACACTGTGCTGCCCGCTGCCTGTTTCCAGAAGCTTCTTTCTGGAATGGAGCCCAGAAAGGCCATGGGCTGACCACTGCTCTCAGCCTGACTCAAGACAAGTGTGTGGGCTTGGCCTCTGCTCCCCCCTTGGCTAGGGCAAAG